TCCCCCCCTGCCTTTTTGCTTGGTAACTACTACTTTAACAAAATGGTGTTTGTGCAGCGCCTTGGAACCAAGAATTAAGCTTTTCAACATAAGACAGGGAACAGAATAAGAAAAGTAGCACTAAAATCATCTACATGCCATGGTTTTTTAAGGCACATGCTTAAAAATACATGGCAGAACTTTGGGTTCTTGAAGAATAATACTTAAGACTGCTAGATTTTTATTTCCTACGCTGCTAAAATTACTTGCATGTTTCTGATGTTTGTGTTGTTAATCTTCCCCCAGCACAAAGTTTGGAATTATACTCTCAATCTACAGAAATCAGTAAATTTAAATATTTAAAAACCCCTGCACTGCTGACAGACATTGTTCAAACTTTTACTGGCCTTGCCCATAGGGGCAAGCCCTATTGATGCAAAGTATAAACAGGGAAAACATAGTGTCTGATCAATGGTTTCTGTAGGAGAAGACTTCCTCACAAAAGAAGAATACACTTTTCCTCTGCTGATCTGCTAACACGCAAATTAAACAAAGACTTGGTGCAGAAAAGTGTATCTGATACTATCAGCATGATCATCCTCTCTGCTCTGGGTAGCAACTGAGTCTGTCCTCAGAATCCTTCTGTTGTGAAGAACACAACACTTGGCTTAATAAATAAAAAAACAGTTGCTACTTATTTTTACTGCAAATAGTTCTACATTTAATGAAGGCCCATAAGATGCTGGCATACCCCTTCTTGCCTTGTGAAAACATAAACCTCAAACTTGCTAAAAATAGCTGTAACTAGTAAGGATGAAACAAAATTGCCCCAGAACAGCACAGACATCTGAAAATAAAAGCTGAAAAGGAGATGACTTAAGGGATTTTCAGTAACATTGAAGAAGTAAGTGTAACCTGTAGGTTTAATGAGCATTACAATACATCAATTACAGAGACTTAAGTAATTTAGGGAAAAGTGTTCACTGGTTGTCAGTTTGGACACAGACTTCATTTGCTCCATAGGGCAGGGACAGCACCCTCTAATTAAGAGCCATGGTCAGAAGTTGTGTCCAAAGCTTGTCACCTCCTTGCAGCACACCTTTCTCACAAAGCTAGAAAGGTGAGAAACTTCCCTTCTCCACTGCCACAGGACTCAACCCTTCATCTCCATGTATCACTGCTGCATAGACATGGTATTAGAAATGTATTTCACACCTCATGTGCTACTACAGGTTTCTACTGCCCACTGCCTCTCCAGTTAAGGGTACTGACATAGAAGCATGTTCAAGCAGCAAGCTACTCACCACTTAAACAGGTTTTTGACTTCTGCTACCCCCAGCCTGGTACCAGGGGGTACTGCTTCATGGAGATGACTCAAGATTTAATCATTTCTTTCTTCCTTAAGAAGTCTCTGTGTAAAACCACCTGAACTAAGAGTTAAAAGTACTGCACTTCATTGCTAACCTCACCTACCGACAGATTCACCAAAGATACTTATTGCCACAAGTACCAGACAGGATGAGAGAAAGGAAACACACAGAAAACATGCCTAGTGAGGGTTTAACAAAGCAGGGAAGATCCGTGCTAACTCTAGCAATGATTTCTTCTCAAAAACTGACTCAGGCCCACTCTCTATATGAATGAAAGGATGTTCAAGGACAGTGATGATATCAAAACCTGTTGACTCAGCAAATGAAATGTGCTGATCAACAAAGCAATGGCCAGCACAAGAGAAAGATCAGTGAAGGCCAAATAACATATGATACAGTTAACTTTTATTTATTCTTCCAGATATTTGTCCAGTCTTTCCAGTAAATTCACAAGAAGTCTGACTTTGAATCCGTAAGATTTGGTATTCTAGAACAGTGGATTATGTATGCATATAAATAAAGGCTTGACTGTAAGTTTTCACTTCAAGGACCTTTGGAAAATCGTGAACTAATAGGGTTTAGTAACTAGAGACTTACTGCATTCTTTCCATCATAATTTTGACAGAGTTCAGGCTTTTCTATACATTTGTAACATTGCTATTTGTCTCCTCTATTTTGTGGTTCTCATAAACTGAGGAAAACAGCCTAGGTTTGACTGCTCCTTTCAACTGTTCATATCACATAATAGGGAAGGAAACGCTGAGAGTCTCAGTGGTGTTAAACTGGCCAGGAGATAACAGAAATAACTCCAACTTATTAGATCCCAATTTTTCTGGCTAACCCAAATACCTTGTTTTGATATAAAATTATCCAAACTAACTCTCTTTTCTGGTGTGGTATTTATATGGTAATTCTTCTGGAGACAAGCTTTCATTCATTTCAGTGTCTTTCCTTCCAATACCCCATTTGTAGTGCTAACACCCCCAATACTTCTTCTGAGAAGTATCAGGAAGGGCCCCATAAAATACTGTGCAGGTCAAAGAGCACAGGGTGGCTTTGAAATACAGAAAATGTTCCTTAAGTGTAATAAAAATGCCTTTGTTTCTAATCTAAAAATTGGTAGGCTTGCAGACTGTATCATAAACACAAACAGTACAGTTTCTCATCTTTTCTATCTTCTTTTTTTCTGCCCCCAAAATACTGCCAATTGTAGCATGATGTAAAATTAGACTGAAACTATTGGTTTGTTTCCAAGTATGTTAGTGAAAAGTTGGTGAAACTGTTGAATTCAACACAAGGAATTGCTGGTTTAGGCTTTTTAGACCCTTAAAGTATTTTCTTAAATGGCTTCTAAAACTCTTAGTCTTTCAATAATAAAGCAATTCTTTGTCCAAAATTACTAGGACTTAGGTGAAGGATGCATTTTTGGTTGAAAACATAGATTAATTCTGAACAGTGTACCTATTTTCAAAACATTTTGCAACTGCTAGTTTTTGAATCATGGTAACTTTTGTAAAGATTTTAAAACAAATATTCCTGTCACTTGGACAATCAGGTATATCAAGCACACACTGTGTTCATGGGGCAATCGCTACAACGTGAATCAAACACCAGGGTATAAAATATAAGATTCCAGGAATGTACTGATGCAACTTGAGGGTTTGTTTTTTTACCTTTTAAAGATGGCTAGAGATCGATTCTATCAGATTTTGAACACCATGAGAACAAATGTTTTTCATTAGCCATCCTCCTTCTCCCTCCCCATTTACAAGGTTGGTTTATTCTTGAATATGTGTTATGGCTTTGGCTTTTACCTGAAGAAACGCAGATGTGAGAACATCCTGGTGTACCAAACAATGTGTGTTCTTGGTCATTTAATGTTCTTCAGTTATGGGTTTGCTATTCACATGAAACCATCACCTTCCACATCTGCTCTAGGTCTTGGTTTGCATGCAATGTGTGCACAGAAGGAATTCAGGCTCAGATCTTCGAAGCTGTTGACAGTCCTTAGATAATGCAGTGGGAGTCACAGAGGGGTGGGTCACAGGCCAGAATATGCTCCTGGCTCTGCAGACTTACAAAAAGACTTCTGATTTTGTCTGCAGCTTAATTTCCAGCCAAGAACCTCAGTATTAAACATAAATTAAATTTTGCCCATAAACTAGCTAAAAATACCTGTAGTTTCTAGAGGCAAATTATTTGCATAATTCTTAATTATTAAGCTTCACTGCTCAAAACCCATCTGCATTTCCTAGGTGGATGTAAACCCCAACAAGCAGCAGTTTTCATGTAAAATAAAAAGTTGTAGACAGCACAGAAGAATACTGCCAATCAAGTAATTTGATGAGATTTCATTACATAAGCAGATAGTGGTGCTATAGCTAATAATTTAAAATTAAATGTTTTCCAGTTCCACTGTATCATCTGCACACTATTCATTTAGTTCCTTATATTTAGCAGAAGTAGGGCACATTTTCCAGATGCCATTTATAAACACCATACACTGATAATTTTATTCCTTACTGGAAAGTACCCTGGTCTACTCACAAATTAATTTGGGAAGTGACATGGTGACAGTTAGCCCCTGGTGTGCCTGACACAGGCATGAAAGGAAGGAGGAATAGGTGGGATTTTGTGTTTGGCATTTCAGAATTAGGGGAGGTAATGCTTCCAGTTATATACACTTAAAGTTATTTCTGAGAAGACAAGCTGAACTTAAGCATTAAGCTAAATAGCTATAGCCCTACATTATTTCATCAGTTATTTTCCAAGACATCATTCATTCCTCTGTTGAAAGTTTGCTTCTTAGCAGTATTTATCTTATCTGGAAAAATTACAGTCTATGAAAGAGCTTTATTTTGTTATGCTGATTTATATATCTAGTTCCTTGCACACTGGTACTAAAGAAATATAACTTTTTTTTTTTTTTTTTTTGCAATGGCAAGGGGAGTTCATTAGAAAAACACCAAAATTGTACAACTGGAAATAAAAACAGAGCATAAAAGCACAGCATTTCACATAAGATGAGCTTTCAACAGAAATATTAAAACGAACCCCCACAACCCTCAAACACACTGCCATATTCATTTCAGACCAACTGGAAAGGCACTGAACATTGAAGTGTGCAACTCATATCCATACCTGTGAGATGAGCAACCACAGTGAGACACAAACCTCCAA